TGGTAGGACCAACCTCACGTAATACAAACGCAAATATCCGGAAAGTTCCATGCAATTTCCTTCTCTTTGTGTAAATTTTTTGAGCAGTTACTTTCTTGATATAATCATTCCATGTTCGAGAGTCAACCTAAAAAAAAAAATTAAAAATTACGATATTACACTCTTAACAATGCACACAAACATGCAAATCCTTAGAGATGGGCATTTTTATTTTTTTTTTATTTTTTTTTTGCTAAAATCATTTGCCGTTTAGTATCGAAATTTCCTTTCTTATATTTATACGTTTTTAACAGTCAAAAATGGCAATGTATGTGCGATATATATAAATGGAAAATCCTGCAATATATATACATATATATATCTATTTTAATTTTAGTGATTCTCATATTTTTATGTATTTAGATATATGGTGATTTTCAATCATTTCTTACAAGTTAAAGTAAAAAAAAAAAAAAAAAAATCTTCTTCCAATTGAAGAGAACACGCGACTTGTGCCGCACATGGGAGGAACTTTGGCATAACTATTGCCTCTATTACACATAATTAACCTAATAAATCATTTACACATAATTAATCTATTATAACAAGTCAATGGTAGTTGACACATATTAGTGTATTTGATGACCGGTCAAATACTTTGCGTTTTGCGGCATCCACGGTCGACAGCGTTTGGGAATAATGCGACGGCACCACTCACATGCGACGAAACACGCGTCGACAGCCAACACTGCTTGTATGACTCTCTTTTTAAAAAAGAGAGAAGGTGAAGAGAGGAATGCTTACGGAATTTATCATCTGAGGAATGTTCCCGAATTTTATCATCATAGAGTTGTTTAAAATTGTTTAGTTGAACTCATAAATATAAGACAAAAAAAAAAGGGTGTGAATTTATGTATTAGACATTTGTTGATATACTTAAAGCACACGCAATTTATTATATGAATACACGCTAATAATTATTATTCTCTCTTATATTTATACATTTTTTAATATGTTAACCAATGGAGACCTATTTGGCAGACTCTTACATAATAAATATAAACAATAGCATAATAAACGTAAATATTAAGATAATGGATTTTTCTGATGGGTCTAGTTAATACATTTAAATTTCACCCGACTTGACACTTATATATATATATACTAATAATTATTACTATTTATTACATTTATGCACTTTCCCTAATGATTAATTCTGCCTTTTTTAAAATCTAACACCTGAATTACATTTTGATAAATGCTCATTGTGCACCCGCATATATACAAGACATGTTGTTGCTTTTGATGAAAATTGTGTGCAATAATCAACCTCATTGCAATTTTAAATTAAATCTATACAGGGTATCAGTTCATCCCATCCACAATTGATTGCTCGTAAATTGCGCAAAACTCAAGATTTGCATGATATACTAACTTGTAGTATAATATATTGTCACACCGGAGAGCGGCAAACAAGAAAAAGAAAAAAGATGACAACCCTTGCAGAAAATTTTGTTGCCATTCGTTTGGATTAGCTGTTTTTTAAGATGTTTTTGAAAAATTTTACTGTAACAGTGTATATGAAAAAATTTTACTCTAAGTTTTTTTAAAAATTTTAATATATTATATGAATAAAATATTTTTTTGAGTTATTATGTATTATTGTAATATTGTATTTAAAAAATTTATTTTTGAAAAAATATCAATCCAAAAGGAGTTTTTTTGTTTTAAGGTTGAATTTTTTTAAAAAAAAAACAAAAACCACATCATTAAGAAATACTAGAAGCTAGCGACGATTGTACCTAATCGCTGGATAACTATCGGGATAAGTATCAGTTAATCCTCTTTCTTCAAAGTACCTGACGACAAAACAAAAACCGTATCTTCTCCGATAATAATTTCTTAGCAATTCTTCCATCTTCCTCTTCCTCCCCAATACCACTGTCCTTGCAGACTCCCTTGCTGCTTTTCTCTTCTTTTAACTTTCGATTTCTCTCACATAAGATCCACAAGCTGTTTATAAATAGTAGTGTCTGCTACGGGGCTGCTATTGAAAGCAGATATTGGAATTCCCCAATTCTCAGATTAATTATTTAGCGAAATCTTGAGTTCAGTCTTCTTTTATTAGCCAAGAAACTTATCTCTTATTTGTTTCTTCACTTCTTGCGAGACCATGAAAGTTCATCCCGTGCCGAGGAAGCGGAACATGACTCTGCGATACGACATCGCGTCGTCTCTCTCTCAAGCTAACGCTTTAGCTTGCAGGCAGAAGAAGCTTCGGAGGCTGCCTCACATCTTTGCCAAGGTTCTTGAGCTGCCGTTTCACTCCGACGCCGATGTTTCTGTTGAGGAGACCGCCGATTACCTCAAGTTCGTAGTTCCTACGGATGATGTCGGCGATGATGTCAGGGCCCATACCCTCGAGATCTATCCCGGAGTTACTAAGATTCTGATTCGCGAAAACGACGTCGTTGGTAGTGGGTTGTTTCTGGATGAGTTAGAGCTTGACTTCTGGAGGTTCCGGCTCCCCGCCGCAACTCGGCCGGAGATGGCTACCGCGGCTTATGTAGACGGTGAGCTGGTGGTCACGGTGCCCAAAGGAAGCGGCGACGAGGATGTTGGTGAAGCCGAAACCGGTGCTATTGGAGGACCAGGACAGCTTGTTCTTGTACAGTAATTTATTTAAAACCCCCCCCCTCCCCCCCCCCCCCCTCCCCCACCAAAAAAAGGTTGGCTATTTTTTTTTTTTTTTTTTTGTATGTTATGCTTATCTCAGGATCCTTTGATCCTTAAAATGAAAGTCTGCTATTTCCATAAGGTTACGCTATGTTGCATATTATTCAGTTAAGATTTTGGTTTTCTTGATTTACAGTATGTGTATGTTTGTTTATTAAAATTAGGTTAAGGCTGTGTTTTGTTCTATATCATAATCGGAAGTTGATTTTTATGGCAAAGAAACGTAGCTTAGTTTTGAATGAGAATCAGTTTCCATTTTCTGATTCATTTCCTTATCTGATAAAGAACCAAACACAGCCTTAAGTTTGGAAGTATTTGGTATATGTTATTGATGACTAAAGCTTGCTTGCTGAGACTAGGACAGTGAGCTGAATGTAACATTTTTTGATGTCAGAAAACTTGGTTTGTTCATATAAATGAATTCCATTCTGTTCAGTCATCAAAATAATCTGGCATCGCAGTTTGAGGGGAAAATTTGATATTTTCACTGAAATTTGTTCAGAATGTGCTCTGGTGCAGTCTAGATTTCATTTTGAACGAACTTAACCTCTCATGGTTGCTGGATTGGCTTGTACCAAACTTCCATGTCTCCATATTGTGTTAGATGACACTCGTTGTGATTTCTTTTTTTCAAAATCACCATAACTTCCACTACTGCTGGTTGTGTTTAATGACACTCATTTATGATTTTTTTTTCAAATTATGATTTCAATCCGTTAACACATTCCAAAGCATGTGATTATAGTGCATTATGTTTGTTTTCTTGTGCTAGATTAGCGATTTCAGTTCCCACTGAAAAGAAAAAAAAAGGCATGAAACTTAAGAAAAGAAAATTGCAGTAGTTCATCTTATTCCCATTAACATTTCCCAATAATTGAACCATATATTGCAACTTGGTCTTGTCCTGATCGATAATTTTGGAGCCTCTTTGTCGTCTTTATCAGTTGCCCCTGCTTGGTGAGGGGACACTTGACTACAAATTTGTTTCTTGTGCTTTGTGTGAACGTCAAGTGACATATGAATGGTAGGTTTTGCTTGGAGAATATGTTACTCTTACATCCTGTTGTATAAGTATATGCTGTTCAGAAAGAACTTGAGACGAATGAAAATTGATAATAAAAAGCAATTAAGCCATGACAAGAAAGTAATTGATTCGAGGAAGTCTGAGTGCTTACGCTCTTATTTATTTGGTGAAGGTGCATGTATTGAGTATTCTTTGCTGGACCCTGAGATTGTTTGAATTCATTTTCTGGTTGATAGGACTGTCGTCGTGTTAAACTCCTTCCTGTGCAGTTTACCAGATGGCTTGAAAACTCTGGCTGCTTTTGATTTAGTCTAACTTCTTCTTCCTTTTTTTTCCTTCTTCGCATCTCAAATTATACTAGGTAAACAATTATGTCCTTTGTTTGAGCCAAATTACAATTTTATGTTTTTTGCTTGATTTATATTGGATGTTTCTGCACAGGTTAAAGCAATTTATTACCCTTGTTGCCAGAAATCTTGCAGTTTCAGCATATGTATTGTTAGCAAGCCAAATTTGTGCAAAAGGAAGGCCATTTGCCTTCGTTGGTAGGCCAGGCTAGAGCAGCAGCAGCTTAAGTTTAACATACAAATATCTTTAGAGCGGGCTTAAGTCCCTGTCACTGTGACTTTTAAATAAAAGTGAGTGACTTATTTCAAAGTCCCGTAACAGCAACCGCTTTTAAAGGCTGGATCTTAGACTAACAATGAAAGTGGGGGGGAAATTCTTGGGACTTCAGCTGTTACAGCCAGTTTCTTTATAATGGCAATTGCCAAGCTTGCACTTATTCTAGTGCAGTTTCAGGCATATTCTCTACCTTGTGCAAAACACAAATAGTTCAAGCCATTCATGTGTTTTCGACGTGAATAGCTTGAGGATGTGGAAATTTTGCACATTACGTGACTCCTTTGAGAGGATGTTGTTAGCTCCCTTTGAAAATTGCAACTAAAAGATCTATTGAGGTAATGGGAAAAGTTCGAGAGGAATATCATTTGATACTGTAATTGAGAATTTTTTGGGAATGTCTTCTGCTGAGCGACTTGTTCAAGCTGGAAAACTTTCTCCGTTCGCTAAGTCATGGTCTGTTATTGCAACATCTCCAGCAGGTTATGTAACTCGTAAAGAAAGTGGCGCGTACGTGTTGCTACACCAGATGCATATTTAATCCGTTGTATTGAAGTTGGCTGGCAAATTATCTTATCATCATCCATAAGATAACCTTACAGTATCCCCTTACTGAAATTAAACTACAATCTGTTGAGTACTAAAATTTTCTGAGCACCAAAATAACTAGGCAAAATGAAACAGGAATCTTGAACAAAACTAAATGAGTGGCCAGAGCATCATCATAATTCCTATGAATAACATAAGGCTTTACTTCCTAAACATATTAGGAGAAAGTCGAATTATTGAATAATTAAGGCATAATAATATTTGCAATTTCAACATAACATGCAAAAAACACATGACCTTAGATTTGCCAATTAGCGGTGTCAAAGATTACCTTCCTACATGTTGACATAGGATCATCAGAATAGAATGGTGGATATCCCACGAGCATTTCATACATAATAGCTCCAAGTGACCACCTGCACAGTAATGAATGGTGTCCTCCTATCAATGAGAGAGAGACAGTAAAACTACTTCTTGACATTTTTTCATTGATATTACACACAAAAGAATGTCTTGTAAATGGACAAAGGAGTCCTGCAAGGGATCTTATAACTAAAAATGGCTTATAAACTCTGACTCTAGAAACATGACTTGACCAATACATCCCTACACTAGAAAAACTGAAGACTTCTAAAGGAAGCTAAGTGGATCAGGGAACTATTGACGTAAAAAGAGACTAAAAGATCAACAAAGAACTAACCAATCACATTCCATGCCATAACCTTTCTTCAGCAGAACTTCTGGAGCAATATAGTCAGGTGTACCAACAGTCGAATAAGCCTGTAATGGCCCAACATTGATTACTCAAGAAACTTAAAAGATGGAACCCTGTAGAATGGTCAACATCTAAATCTGGGAAAGAAAAAAGCCACCAAACTGCTTCTATTTTGTTGATGAGCTGAAGCCCATTTATAGCCAAAAATGGCCCCTACTCCATGCCTTGAAAAGGTAGCTAATCACTTTCTTATAAATAAAAAACTTTCACCAAAGAGTAATAAGGTGGAACTTCCTAACAAGTAAGGAAACAGCTAAATTTCAATAACAAGGAAGAAAATTTTAAAATTACAGATACATATGAAAAATCTTCTTTTAAATGTTGTTGTAGAACTTTTATCAGCTAAAAAGTGAAGGAAGCCCTGTTGATCCATCCCATGATTCTTAAATTAAAGAGAAAATAAGTATGTTCAACAGAGAATCAAGCAAAGCAGATGATAAAAGCGATAAATGAAAAACATTAAATGTAACCTGAAAAAGTGCCAAAACACAAGACAGAAAAATAATCTTAAATGGAGTGGAACTTACAAGCATCCTTCTATTTTTCTGCCAATGTTGGAGTTGCTCTTGCTGCGTGCGTTTTGGAGCTGCAGGCTGCTCATCAACTCTTGATGTTCCATTAAAGCTGTCTCCTGTTGAAAAATCCTTCTCTTGCAAAGTACTGCAGTCTAATGGTTTACACAATCCAAAATCTGACAGCCTCAAGTGACCATATTTATCTAGAAGCAAGTTGTCAGGTTTAATGTCTCTGTAGCAATCAACCAATAGGAACAATCAGATATCTAAGGCACCACTATAGAAAGATAAAGGAACAGATCAAATTAGCATGCATCAAAGTCTGGATACAGACCGATGAATGTAGTTATGTATATGAATCGATTCAATAGCCAAAACAGTCTCTGCCACATAAAATCTCGCCTCATCCTCAGTTAAGGTATCCTTTCTCATTAGTAATGTCATCATATCTCCACCGGGTAAGTATTCCATGATGAGATAGAGGTACTCTTCATCTTGAAACGAACAATACAGTTTGACGATGCAATTGCTGTCAACCTCTGCAAGCAGATTCCTTTCAGCTTTCACATGCTCAACCTAAAATGATCAACAAGCTGAGAATTATTAAATTAGAAAGCAAAACCATGATATCAGGTCGGACGATCAATTATTAGGTACCTGGCCTCTACGCAGCATTTCTGATTTCTTTAGCTTTTTCATGGCATACACGTGACCTGTAGTCTTTTCTCTACAAACTCTTACCTGGAAAGAAAATGAAGCAAAACAGATATCATAGCAGGCTATTTGCACTTCACCCCAAACAGTCACAAGTAGTTTACAAAAAGTTCTGCATTATTTCCAGTAACTGTCAGACCAAAGAATGAAAGCTGGCCACAATTAAGACTGGTTAGTTATTAAGGGGCATAGTTAACTTGTATACTGCTTTTGTTCAAATTAGACCGTGTAAGAGTTAGCCCCACCCAATATTTGGACATGGGCCTCCAGATCTTATCTCATCCAAAATCTTATCCATCAATAGCCACATGAAAGAGGGGAAACTTAACTCTGTGCATGACTAAGTACCAAAACCAAAAAGCACCCTGAAGGAACTAATAACAACAGATAAGCCACCAGAGAATTTTCCACCAGTTGGCATCCCAAGAGTCTGAAGAAACACGTCACATGAAAAAGACACAAATATTTAAATTTTAAGTAGCAAAGCATGAGTAAAGTCTACAAGTGAATAAAAGCCGATGCACCTAGAATCACCAAATTTCATGTAGTCCTGATCTCCTCACATATTAGAAAAAATAAATAGATTCATGTTGTCTGGTAGTGGTTATGTGCCTGTACGCATTGTTCATATCAGTTTTAATGGCTGAAAAAGATATCTGACAATTAAATGGACCAAATAGTTTGATTTGCGTATATAAACACCAACAGGATTTAATGTATGGGAGACCCAATAAGCTGGAGAAGAAAGTCAATGATCTCATTGAAAATCCTTACCTCCCCAAATGCACCCTTCCCAATCATCGTTAGTAACTCAAAGTCATCAGCCCCCATTTTGTGCCTTTGGAGACGCATATATTCAGTTTCCTTCTTCTCCAGAAATTTTAGCAGGTTATTTTGATCTTCCTCTGAAACATCAGCATCTGCCAACTTCTTCTCCAGTAGAGTTCGTCTGCTCACAGAAAATAGAGGTAACTTCGTGATTTTCTAAAAGACTCTTCAAACTTTGTTTCAACCAAAAAAAATGAGAGAAAATGTACCAGCGGCAGACAATTATCAAATAACACTGGACAAATGTATTGCTAATTGGTTCCCCACCAACAAAATTTCATGCCACGTGTATCACTAGGGTACATTCTGCATGAACTTGTAAGGCATGTATAAGGAATGAATTCATAAAACTCTTGTGGCAGAGCATAATTGTTGCACAGACCGCTGGAGAATAAAAATTTTATACAACACAATGGCGTATACTTAATCGGCATTCAGTTCAGCCAAATACTAAGATATTCAAACCTAATTCTACCACAAAGCAAAACACATGCATACCAATTACCATGATCTGCCCACAAGTCTAGACAGACTATCTGATGCCCCAAAAAAAATAAGAGGACAAAAGAAAAGTACCGGAAAGAACAGCAGCAGCAACCACCGTGACTGACATTAACCAAAATAGTGGAAAGAACAATGCATCTAACATTAAGACATGAAAGAACAACATTTCACTACCTATTATTGGACACCAATAATGTAACTATCCAACAACTTAAAGAGAATCACATACCGCTCCCTTCTTTCTTGCAAATTTTTCATCTGCGCCTTGTAATGGTTCTCTATATATTGCTTTGCTGCGGCAACCTTTTGTTTCGTTATATTGGAGGCATCTTCAGATGATAAAGACTTTGGATCTTCCCTTCCACTGTTAGCCATTGAATCCTTCTTCTTTGATGATGACTTAAAGCGCTCGCGTGGTTGAAACTTCTGGAACCAACTTCTTGCTGAGTCCATCTATTTTCCCCCAGTTCATGAGGAAGCCAACATATGGCTCCACAACATGTTTCTCATCCTAAACAGATAACACACTCAGCCCGAAAGTGACGATCCTAAAAATGGCATACCATTTTCACAAATTTCAATACAGGTGCATGAAAAGATCACATTCTCCATATAATACACGAAACGAAAAAAAAAATGGCATATTAAAAGAAAGAAGAAAAAAACCAATTCCATCAAATATTTGAATTCACTTTATCCTTTTCTGTTTTCCGGGCTGAACAGAAAATAAAATTTGATTCCAAAGAACCAGTTTTTTAACCACTTCATCGATCAAGACTTATAAATTGGACAATGCAAAAACTGCAAACACATTAGTTTCTAACAAAAGACCAAACGATACCGAAATCCTGAAAAGAAAAGGAGGAAAATCTTGAAAAGTTGAGGGGCCGCTTCAAAAGGGTCAACGGATCAAGAATTCAACATTCATGCGCATATTTCAAGCTCTTTCTTTTTCTTGTTCTCTTTTGGCGAACAAAAACTGTTCGAGCCACTCAAATAACGACGTGAGAATTCGTTAAAAGCATCAAGAAAATGACAGAAAACTGATAATTAGAAGTGAAATGAGGAGACCATACCTGAAATGGTAGAGAGATCGGCTTACGGTCAAATCTTGGCGTGTAAGAGAAAGGGAGATAATAGTTGATAACCCGATCCGCCAAACTGCAAAGACCAGCCAAGAGGGACGTGCATATATAAGCTAATATGTAGTGTAATTGGATTATTACTGGCAGCAATGTACAATAGAGGAATCAAGTTCCCGCAAAGTGCAAACAAATGTATGTGGATGCGTGTAAGGGGTGGACAATAGATTAGTGACAACGATTTTATTATAATAAAAAAATGCAGTTGCAAGGATGGAATTTGAGAAGAGGAGGAAGATATGGAATGGAGGAAGGAAGGGAGAAGGCAAGGACAGTTAATCCGGCATTTTCGCAGGTTGGCAGTAGTTCGGGACTTGGTCCCGCACCCCCGAAGCACCCCTCCTCCTTCTTCTTCTTCCTCTTTTTTTTTTTTTTTTTTTCTTCTTCTTTTTTGGGTTGAAAATCTATCAAGGATCTACTAGCATTAACCATCAAAAAAATAAATTGTGTTATGTTTTATTTACTAGTAATACAAATATGCCTATTGTGGGTCCCCACAAATGTCTATCTTTTCATGCTCGTTCCGAATAATATTACTTTTATTTATTTTTTGTGAATTGGAATTGGGAGTAGTAACCAAAATAGTTACTACATCTGTCAAATGCTAATCAAGCCCTGATGATGACTGATCCAGAAATGATTTAGAATCTTCTTCTTTTTTTATTTATTGGGATAATTCAAAGACCTCCCTGTGATTTCTAACAATTTCATTAGCCTCCTCTAAAGTTTGTAAAATTACACAATAGAGGTTCGTATAATTTTGTAAACTTTAACTTTAATGGAAGTTTATGTAATTTTATAAACTTTAAGAGATGCTAGCGAAATTGTCAGAAACCTTTCTCCTGAGATTTTCGAAATTATCCCTTTTTCTTATTTTTTCCCTACAGCCCTACTAAAGTACTAATCATCATCATCATCATCATCATCACTCAATTTCATATGATTACATCTTTTCATCCTCAAACCCCTCTTGATGATAACAAAAAGTCAAAAAAAAAAACAGAATCGCATATCTTTTCCACCGAGAAAGGAGATTTCCACATCAAATTATGCTCCCCTTTGCTACTTAATCCAGGTACCATTTGTAGACTAAGTAAACACCTTTCACATGGACGTGCATACACGACTAATAATATTTAATTGCAGACGGAATGAAATTGTTGTTTTAGAAATTACACGCCCTACGTGCTTTGATGAATACACCACATTATACTCATCAAATTCGAGAATATTAAATTCTAGTCTGGGTATTCCAAAATATTGATGGAGATAGAGCGAGTAATATAATGTACCATTTCGCGTGGGCTAACACAACAAAATGGACCCCAAAAGAAAATTCCCGTTAAGTTTTATGAAAGCTTCATGGATTATTTTAGTGACAATGTAATATTACTTTTTATTTTTAAGCGTAAGTGACAGGTCCTAATTTTTTTTTTTTTAAATGTAAATGAGAAGTTTTGAGTTTAAGATCATGTATTCACACTTTCTCTCCGTACCACCCAATCCATTCATCTGTCCAACAGTCTAATGTAACTAAAAAATTAAATATAAAAAGCATTGATTCCTTTTTTTTTTTTTTTTTTATAACAGGCTTTTGCTTGGTTAAACAAATACTAGGCATCATTCTTGGTTCTAATGAATGATATATCAAAAAGATGATGCTGATTAATTGATGCAATGATTGAAAAAAGTAGTAGCAAGCAGAGCACAGATAATCTCTACCCACAAGCAACGATGTCTCCACTCTCCACTGCAGCAGCAATGAAATATTGAAATGAGACAAATGATGAATCATGTGTTATCCTTAGCCAAAATACAATACGTGTCCTTCAATAGACGTGACTACGAAGCAGGAGAAACAGAAGCATCAGATGTGACTGCAGTCACTCTCAATCAGTCCGGTCCAGAAGGGAGACAAACTCTTGTCAGTATGCTTGCAGTCACTCTCAGTCAGTAGTGTAAACTATAAAATATCTCTGGTGCAAGTGAAAGTCGTTCAAATATTCACCACTTTGGGGGAACTGCACATAAAAGGCTTTGAAAGTTAAGTAGTCACTCGACCAAGACAAGAAAAGCTATCTCCATCACACTGATCAGTTGGGTAGCAAACGTTGGAGTTTGGACACCAGGGGTCGTCGTTTTTTTATGTCCTTTCTTTTTCGTTAACTCGTGATTCGTCAGCCTTTTTAGACGTAACTAGCCATCCGTAATGTTTCTAATAGCACTTGCTAGTCATATTCACATCACGCTACAAATTGATGATCATGCTCTGCTGAGTACATCAATAGAAAGAGGCACTTTACAAAAAAAAATGTGGGCAACTGAGCCTCTAGGATAAGATTTAGCCCCATGACATATTACATTGTGGAATAGGAATCTGATCTTTCTCGATCCCAATCCCACCACACCAATGTACGGGAAAAAAAAGGAAAAAAAGGAAGAAAGAAAGAATCCAGTCTTTTAACTGCAGTAGACTTACAATGCCACTAGTTGCAGATTCATCACTAATCTGACCCAGAGAGAGAATTTCTTATTAAGAGGAGGCGTATGCAGTTTGCTCTGCACCTTTAACCTCACAAGAAAGAGTGTTGCCATGCTACTCTTGTATGAATCCCAATCCTTGGACTTGGAGAATGTCAATAGCTTTGAGACTTGAGTTAGGCAATTTATCTATCACCTATTTTACTGTCTCGTATATCATAATTATGAAAAGAAATTAGATTCCTTCCAGGAGATAAGATCACCTATAGTATGCCATGTGTCTGGACGATCTAAAAGGAGAAGCATCAAATGGCGAGGACTTCCGGACTGGACTTTGAGCAGTAATGTGTTTTTTCTTCTCAACCTTGGTTTCAGATCGAAGCCAAGACTCCACAACTGACAGTAAATTTGGGGAAGCCTTTAGTTCTGAAAGGTCAGATAACTTCTCATGCCTCTTCAAAATACCTTCTTGAATGTATACAATATCTGTTGCCCATGTCTCCAATCCATCAAATATGTGCGTTGCATAAACAATTGTTGCTCCTCTCTGTAATTATCAGGCAATCAAGAATTCAAAACAAGATCCTGGTGAATTTGTTGTTAGGATGATAGCACATTTCAGGAATTAGACTGACAAACCCTCTCATGTACTGCATCCCTGATGAAATTGATCACACTTGTAATTGATCTCTAGAATCGAGGTATGTACCAAACAGGATGCGGGTAACCTTCCTACCTCTCTCTTTCCAAGCTACACGTCTAACAAAATACGGTCCTCCCTCCGCGCCACCCCAACTGCCCCCCACCCCCAATAAAAAGAAAAAAAAAATACTTCTGCCTGCTTTCTCAATCAGAGATGATCCAAAGATATTTCGACTCTACTCATCCTGAAAATTTACTGGCCTGACTACAGCAAAGAACCCCAAATTTGCAAATGATCACTCCCATCTTATAAAACAGAGTAGGATAACCACTGACATCATACATTTTAATCCAACTTAATACAGAACTTTTCTCTTCTTTTTTAAAGGAGCGTATCTAAGAAGGTATTAGATAAAGTATTTAGCTATAAATGAACAAAAAGAAATAACGCCATAAATGACCAAACTAGATAATTTAAATTCAAGCAGTTTGCAAAAATCAAATGTAAGAGATTCTCATCAAGCCATACAACATGATTGCTAAATTAGGTAGCACTGCAATAGGCATAGTGATTTAACAACAGAGAGAAGAATCTAATCAATGAATCCTGATGATCAGTGAAGATGAGAGATTCAGAAGTGTATACCTGCTCGCATTCTTCCCTAAAAAAATCTAGCAAGTCCATCCTTGCAACAACATCCAGGTCAACAGTAACCTCATCCAGTAAAAGAACCTGGACGACCCAATGAAAATAGTAAACAAGATCAGCAAAGTACTAGTAGGAGCTAATATGCTTGTGATAGCGCAGACAATTATGTCAACAGTGGCATGGCAAGCCACTTTTCAAATCATACATGCTGAGAAGCTTTAGGTCGCTAACGAATAAAGACCATTCTAAATCAAGAAACACAGTAGTTGTGGAGGAGAAAAAGAAGGGATGAAGTACAGAAAATGCAATTTATGAAAACATCAGCAGTACATGGGATATTTGCCTCCGCATCTCAGCCTAGCCCTGAGGAAACAACTAGCATATAGATATAACAATGACAATAAAGTTGTATAATTCTTAGTTTGACAAGAATATATACAGTTTGATTAGAAAAAGTCAAAGACAAGAATGAATCTAATATACATGGAAGCCCAATGACTAGCACTGTGTACATGTATATCAATTTCCCATTCTTGTGGTCAGATCCAAGTCGAACAGATGTAACCTTGAAAGGGTGAAGGAGACCCATGCAGATTTGGACCCGACGCCGTTGACCATCAGAAACCTTATGCATCCTCCAATGCAGATCAATATCTAGTAGTTCGATCAACTTCTCTCGCCTAACAGGGTCTACCCCTTCCACTGGATAGTGACATGCAAACAGTATCACGTTACAAATTAATCTACAGTATAAATCGAATTCAAGCCAAAAGAATTTAGTACTATCACTGTGTCAAGTGCCAACACAGTTAGATAGCTCAGACTCAATAATTATCAGCTGTAGCATATCACTACGATACCTGATAAGAGCACAGTGCTAAAAGGTTGAATTGCAGAAACGATTTTAGTCACCTCATGCTGCTAATGAACTAGAAATAACAATGACAACTATGAAATTTCCATAGCAATACAGATTTCCCTCACCTCCAAATATCATATGCTCTGCTGAGAAGTCTCCCTGAAGTGGAATTTCTCCCTGAAATTTTGACAAAAGTTTAGAATCTCAGACTGACCTTACTAGGGCATACAATGTACGAGCAAGAAGCAAAGGCAAAATCCAACTAGAACTAATTGAAGAGAAATATCATGATGGGCATGACCCTGTTGAAGACTTTCCTTGACCCTAAAATCATGCAAGTAAATGATTTTTACCATGTTCTAATGAGTGACATTTATTCGAAGAAAACGAAAACACAGAAAGAAACCCGTGGGAAAAGAGAGGAGTAAAGTGCGAAGAGGAATGAGATTAAGAGAACTTACAGCAGAACCAACATTTTTACTCCAGGAATCTCCCAGATAGGCCAAGTCGCCGCTGCAAACAAGATTGGTATCGTGAAAAGCTGATAAATTCAGCACCCGCACCACATCCCTTCCCCCAACCATATGTTTTCCAGCCAGTATCTTCAGTAGAGTCGTCTTCCCTGTTTGTTAAATTATTCAAAATTCAAGGAGGAGAAGACGTCAATAATCAAACCTCGAATAACCTCACTCACTGTAAAAACATCAAATTGGGAGGGCAGGTGCTAGCCGG